AGTAGGTGAAGAAGGCGACAAGATAAAGGTGACAAGTTTAGTAGTGCTACCAAGACTGAAGTAAACTGAGTAAACTGATATGATTTTACAGGTTTTAACTTAGTCTGTTTCTGGCAGTGTTGTACCAAAATATGTTTTTTGTGTTTGTTTTGTTTTGTTTTGCATTTCTTTAGCATTTTTTTTTTCCAGGAAAATCATTGCAAATATTTATGTAAATGGATTTTCAATGACTTTCTTGGGTTTCGCATCATGTCAAAACTCATGACTTAAAACATCCTTTCAAAACTTTCAGTCATGACCAGACTAAGTTTTTAATTTAATTAAATTTTATTTTATTTAAGTTTAGTTTAGTTTAGTATTGTTTAGTATTGTTTAGTATCGTTTAGTATCGTTTAGTATTGTATCGTTTAGTTTAGTTTAGTTTAGTATTGTATCGTTTAGTTTAGTTTCATTTAGTTTCATTATTTAATTTTATTTGTTATGGAAGAAAATTCTATTTTTATTCAGCAGGAATGCATTAAATTGATTAAAATTGACACCAAAGATTGCTCAAAAAAAATAATCCTATTGCACATAAACCTGAAAAAAGTATCACAGTTTCCACAAAAATATTAGAATGGTTTCTGAAGATCATGTGACAGTGAAGACTGGAGTAATGATGCTGAAAATTCAGCTTTGACATCACAGGAATAAATTACATTTTACAATATATTTAAATAGAAAACAGTTATGTTATTTAAAATTGTAATAATATTACAGTTTTTACTGTATTTTGATGAATAAATACAACCTTGGAGAGCATATGAGACTTCCTTACAAAAAAGAAATTATTTCAACCCCAGACTTCTGAATCGTAGTGTCCATATCATATAGTATGACATAAAAGAAAAAAAGTATAAACTAGCCATGATATTGCTGGGGTCACATTGTGCAATATGACAAACAACAATGGTAAACACAGTAAAAACTCGGCTTGAGAGTTACTTCCATTCTGAAGTCTCGTAAAGTCAAGCTTCTCTTGGTCTACAAAACAGCAAATGTTCTCTCTTGTTCACAGTTCACCACCACTTGGGATCAAATCAACGTTTGCATTCCCATAATCATGAGACCACCTCACTGCACAACTTTAGAAGCAGCAACAGCCAATGTTTTTTTTTCTTCTTCTTAACAGCTCTATGACGTTTTTCATTTCCACAGACGAGATGCAGTTTTGTGGTGGCCTTTGAACTATTGGAGGTATTGAAGGATTTAGAGTACGTCTGTGTGAGAGCCCAGTGTTTCTGCCAAACGGCCCTGAGCAGACTGGCTGTGCTCATATCTGGGGAGAGAAAATTAATGCTTATTAATGGGGCCTATAAAAGCGACTAATTGAGCATTCCGGAACTTGCTGAGTTTGGCATCTGCTGCTGACATTCCGCAGCACAGGGCTTCACACACACACACACACCTCGGCTGTCTCTCTCTGTCTCTCTCTCTGACATTAGGTCAGGCCATTAAAAATCAGAGAAGCTCGACAGGTTATTACTGTGACTGACATGTTAATGACACCTGGTCTCGCTACCCAGCGCATAGCGAGTCCGCACGAATCGCCTTCTTTGAAGAAGCCACCGCTTAAGTGTTGGGAAATCACAATTACGACATGTATGTGGATTTAAAACACATATGTGTTTTCATGTCTGATTCCGTCTCCCTTCCAGATGTCTTCAAAAGAGCCATCTTCATGCGTTTGAGTGTTAATGCGATCATACGCCATTCGGTGAGAAGCGGAGAGGTCATGTGTCTTCCATTATCCGGGTTTTTTCTAATCAGCCTGCAGTGGCTGAGATTACACAGCACAGAATTCTGCCATCAAACTCCGCCGTCGTAAATCCAGCTCACCTTGGAGAGCAGAAGGGAAGTGCACATCTGTAAACCAATCATCGCTCGGCTCCCTTTCAGCTGCACTCCCACCCAGACGCACGCAGACTACATATAGAGAAATAGTTCACTTCACATAATTCATTTACTCAGCTTCATGTCGTTACAAACACATATATGTTTTTTTTTTTTTCCATGCAACACAAATGAAGCAGAATGTCCATGCTGTGAATGGTAACCAGAGGTTGTCAAGCTCCAAAAAGTACCAAAAAAGTCATCAATCCCTTGTGGAAAAAAGAAGTGTGCTTAATTATATTCAATGTGCACTTAAGTAGTGTACTTTAAATCATAAAAGTATATATATCAATAGAAATGACATTAAGGTATATTTGAGTTGATCATAAATGCTTGTCAGTACATTCAGCAATATAATTTAACCATACTTCAAGACAATAGAAGTGCATGCAGTATGAAACTACTTATAAAGATGAACTGAAGTCCCTACTTAAGTGGTTCAAAAACACTCTAAAGTTCAGCTAATTGCATTTAATATAAATCTAAATTATAATACATTTTTATTTCATTGCAGTTAATGTGCATTTAAGTGTCTGAAAACACATTCATTTTGCACTTAAGTATATCCTTTAAAGGTATATTATTTATCCATATGAGTGTTCTTTTTAAAAATATACTGGTGTACTTCTTTTTCGCAATGGATTTGTGCACTATATTTTGAGATAACAAGAGGATGAGTAAATAATGACAGAATTTTCATTTTTGGGTGAACGATTCATTCTGTGTTGAGCAGACAATCTCAGAAAGAGAGAGAGAGTGTGGATAACAGCATGTATTTTTGTTATTTTTTCTCCTCACCCTGCAGCCTGTTTGATTTCAATAACACTTAATAGAGAAAACACACACACACAGGTCATGTGACCTCAACATCTCTCCAGGTCATTTTCTCTTTCCACCTCAAGCTTAATGAATTCAGTGCATCGATTGGCTTGCTGATTCACTCTGTGATATTCGTATTATTATGCCTGAGTATTTCTTGTTTCCAGTCAAAAACACATTTCATGGCTCCTAGGGGAATCTTTCACGTCTATAAGAGAAAACAGACTGGTCTCTCTCTCCTCTTGCAGTCTCTCGGTGTTACTCAGAGTTGTGAAGACTCATTTATGAGCTTGTGGATTGTCTTATGAAGCGTAGGTGTGACTGGGATGAAGTTCAGCAAGATTACAATGATTTATGATGCATCACATTAGACAAACACAAATGAATGTTGTGTGTGATGATTTGTATATGGGGCCAAAAACCATTGTGAAAAAGAAGCATACTTTAAAAAAAAAAAGAGTACTTATTGTGAAATAATATACTTAACTATAAACGGAATGTTATTTTTTCAGACACTTTTTACAAACTGAAATTAAATGTATCATAAATCAAATTTATATTAAATGCTATTGGTCGAACGTTAGAGTGCTTTTGATCCACTTCATTAAGTGCATCTTTATATGTCATTTTGTTACTTCTGTTGTCTTTGAAATATGGTTAAAGTGCTGCTGCTGACAAGAATTCATGGTAAACTAAAATGTTCTTCAATGTCATTTCTATTGAAACTTGAATTTCAATATATTTGTGATAATGAATTTGCAATGTAGTCAAATACTGTGTAACTTTAAATGTAAATAGAACACTACAGTTAATAATAATCAAGTACTTTACATATGCTTTAGTATGTTAGTCAATGCATCAAAATAATTAAGTACACTTCTTTTTTCACAAGCTGTTTGCATCAGTTCTGGGTGTCTATTAAATGATTATGAACCTTCTAAGACAACATTGTAAGCAACTTGGCATCTCATAAGTGGCATACTTGGAATCAGCAGCTTTGATGTTAACATGTTGCTAAGCTAACAACATTATACTTTAATAAGGTTTAAAATAAACAGCCCATGATGTGTTTGCAGTACACAAGCCGCGGTTAAGACAGCTGCCTCCACTTTGATGTGACGCTCTCTCTCTCTCTATCTCTCTCTCTCTCACACG